CGAGGTAAGGATGGAAAATACGGTTCATCAGGTCCATGAAAACCGCTGGAGCATTACTGAGACCGAATGGCATGACGAAGAACTCGTAATGGCCGTAACGAGTCCTGAAAGCGGTCTTAGCGATATCTGACTCCTTAATCTTCAGCTGGTGGTAGCCTGATCGTAAATCAATCTTTGAGAATACACAGGCTCCCCTCAACTGATCAAATAAGTCGTCGATCCTGGGAAGCGGATACTTGTTCTTGATTGTCAACCGGTTAAGATCCCGGTAGTCGATACACATGCGCATGGAACCGTCCTTCTTCTTGACAAAGAGGACGGGTGCTCCCCAAGGTGACACGCTCGGTCGGATGAAACCGAGCCGTAATAACTCCTGAATCTGCGCCTTAAGCTCCTGCTACTCCTTCGGCGCCATATGGTATGGGGCTTTGGATACTAGACCGGCTCCTGGAATGAGATCAATAGAGAACTCCACCTGCCGGTTAGGCGGTCCTCTTGGAAGATCGTCTGGGAACACGTCCACAAACTCACGAACAACTGGGACATCGTGAGGTGATCGTGCTTTTTGAGAATCATCGACAAGGCTCACCAGATAACCCTGGCAGTTGCCTCGTCGCAGCAACTTGATAGCTTTCGCCATTGAAACGACATGAGGTAAGGAACGATTCTTGGTGCCAAAGAAAGTGATCGACTCGCCTCCCGAAAGATAAAGAGTAATCTCCCGGTCATGACATCTGATATCTGCATGATAAAAGGATAACCAATCCATTCCGAGAATAAGGTCGAAGTTCCTCATCTCGAGAACAAACGCGTCGGTAGACAATACTCGGCCACCGATGGAAAGGCTAAGATCTAAAGCTTTAGCTGAGGTCACTATCTTTCGTCCCGAGGCTAAACTCACCTCGAGAGGATCGACAGCGGTAACGTCATGAACTCCGATGGCATCAAGACATCGTCGTGAAATAAATGAATGCGTCGCTCCAGTATCGAACACAGCGAAAACAGGAATATTATTAAGCACAACCATCCCTGACATAGTACCTGGCTGCTACTCGGCCTCGACCTGATCGACTGCGTAGACTCGGGCCTGCTGTCTGCCCCTCTGCTGCTGCTGCTGCTGCTGCTGTGGTGGCCTCTGAGCCTGCTGACGGGGCTGCTGCTGCTGCTGTGGCTGCTGAGGCTGCTGGGGCTGCTGTGCCTTCTTCGGACAACGATTAGCAAAGTTTCCGGGCTCGTGACAGTAATAGCATATATCCTGGCCTAATCGACACTCGCCGCGGTGAATTCGTCCGCAAGTCGGGCACTGTGGAACCTGTTGTAGCCTCCGCAGGGTCCTCTTGTCCATCGGGACACCTTTCTCCTTCCTCTTGTTGTTCTTCGGTGGCTGGGCAGTGGCTGGTGGCATCGGTGGAGCCGTAGAAGACTGGGCAGGGGCAACGAGCTGCACTCGATCATGGTTCGCCTCCCTTCGAATGCTGGCATCTACCTCCTAGGCAATCATAACAGCACGTGCATACGTCTGGGTCCCGTGACCTACAATGTTGTGACGGACTGCTGGGTAAAGCCCGTCAATGAAGCGCTGAGCCCTCTGTGACTCCGTACGAACCAGGTCCGGAACAAAAGCTACAAGTCTGGTAAATTTTCTCTCGTACTCGTCAACAGATCGAGTACCTTGTTTGAGCGACAGAAACTGACGCTCCATCTATGCTCTATAGTATGTGGGGTAGTACTTCTCGCGGATAAGCTCCTTGAGCATATCCCATGTACATCCCGCCTTCTCGCCGGGACGCATGCTCCAGTAAGCATTCCACCAGAGCCGGGCATCACCAGTTAGCTGAAGCTGAGCGCAGATTACGCAATATCTGTCTGGACAATCCATGACCTCGAAGATAAACTGAAGGCCCTGAATCCACTCGTCCACGATACGGGGGTCTCCCTGCCCGGAAAATTTCTCAGGGTGATAGTCGCGAAACTGTGCGGCCACCGTGGCCTGAGGAAGAACTGGGTGATCGGGTTCCCTACGGGGCGCCATCTGAACATTGAAAAAGTTCAAATTATTGAACACATGAAAATATTCTGACTGATTTTCAAAATACACAGATCTCTTGACGAGTTACCCAAAAATGGCCGATGAATACTGACATGAATCCTGAGGAACTCTAGAGTCATATCTGAATGTACTGAACTCTAAAGTCTGAACCTGATTCGAGCATCTTAACAAAGTCCTGATTAATTATTTCTGAGCAAAGACAAAGTAATATGTTTATAACTGAAAACATAAATCAGCACTTACCTGTAGTCAGCGAGGCGTGAGCGTAACGGTTCAGGTTTTTCTGAAAATTACTGACTGAAAAAACTTTTCAGAGACGCAGAAACATGCTCTGATACCAATTGTAACACCCCGCTATTTTACTGAAATCAGAGTACGCCTTTTTCGCAAATTTTCTGAATAATTAGATAAAATATTTATTTTGCGAAAACTGATTCGGGGTGCTACCGTAAAAATCTGACTGAAAAACCGTTAGTTTTAAATTTATAAGAAAAACGGTTATATAACGTATTAACCGACTATTGTCTGATCAAAAACTGAGTTTAAGTACCGAAAAAGGTAGCGGAAAGTAGCGTGGTCAAAACATAATATATACATAACAAAACAAATGTCCTGAACAGCACGTCAGCTCACTCCTCGTCCCCGACTCCGTGACCTGAAAA